AGTTGGAAATTATGAATAGGGGTAGAAATTGTTCTTGGGATGTTAACCATTACATAGCGATGTTTCAGCAAAAATGATAACCATTACATAGCGACATAGGATTAAAGTAATCTTCAATTCTTGGGCAAAATCAAAAAGCCATTTATCCAATTAGACTTCAGTATGATTCTCGTGGCTTGTTCCTTTTGTTTAATTGAGACGAGGTTGAGTTCAGTGCTTCAACTTGACAAGTTTTCATTTTTAGGCCAGGTTGAAGATTAAGATTAGATTGTTGGTCTTGCAGTAGTAATTCTATTGTATTTTTTCTCTGGTTAATAAGGTTCCAATATTCAGCAAAAAATTTCAACTTTGGCCGGATGAATTTATGGTTTGTCTTTTTATGTCTTTATGACATCAGGTGGAGATTGGTTCTCAAGTGGTTGGACAAAAGGATATGTCTAAAAGTGTCTTTGACGTTTGGAAAGAGGTAATGGCCATCAAATGATCCCATATTTTGTTTTGGGCAATGGCCTCTTTAATTTAATTCACTGTCTGTACTGTACTTGACAGTATTTATCTTGTTTAGATTTTTTATACAAGAAAAATGAAGCTTCAGAGTAGATCGGGCGGTAAATTCAGGAACGTGTGTGATAAAATGGAACATCTGTACTCGCTTTTATCATATCGGTGAGTATTGAAATTCTTTCACCCTGTTATTTTGATGCCATGTTTAGAGCATGTTCTAACTTTTTGCCCCTGAATATGCAGTGGTGACTACGATTTGATTTTGGATGGGATTCATGAAAATATTTTGCAACTTAATTATCATGATCCAGTGATGCAAAAGACTGTAAGTTAAGAAGTTCTTCACATTTAGTTTTTTTTAAAAAAAAAAAAAAAAACTTCTCTTCCTATTTTTCTGCAACTACCAAGATGATTTCTGACAAAAGCAATGTTATTTAAGGTCAAATGCCTTGAAATGCTTGGAATTTCAGATCTTATGGGCCAGTATGCTATGCAGACACATCATATGAACCTTAATGGTGAAGAACTTTCAGCATCTATCGATTCTTTTTTAAAAAAATTTTAACGCAACGCAAAATTTTAGCCGTTTAAATTATTTGTCTAACTTCTTTTTCTTTTTTCACTTTAAATCTTTATAGTTTATCGACCTTCTTGTATAATTACCGTACATCGGCTGGTGGCCCAAGTTCAAAGACCGAATATTGAATGGCCAAAATCTAACCAAAGGTGTCCTTGAGTCTACTTAATAATGATTCAAATGTAAGATTCTTTGTTCTTTCAAAGTAACGGTGGTTAAACTTCATGTGCTCTCAGATGTCGGGCACTGTTATTGGAAAAGACGGACAATTTGAGGTCTTGGCTTTGCAAAGTTCCTCCAATTATTTCAAGGCACATAAACTCTAAGACATTGGTGGAAGACTTGGTTTCTCCTTTATTGCATATTATATCACCCCGAACTCTTCGACCGGTAATTGCTGAATTTTTTTGTCCCCACATTCTATATTTTCTGCCCAACTATGTTTGTTTTTCCTTTTTCTCAACATTGGCATTCTATTTCTTCTACAACAAAATATTCCAATGATTTTGCTGACAAATTGGAACCTTTTCCATTCTTCCTTTTGTGCTGATTTCTGTAGCCTTTACTGGGGATCTTGTATTTGTTCCTCTTAGGATGTCCTTTTTGAATTTTTTCTTTTCTTTAATATTCTTCTTGAAACAAGAGACAAAACTTTTCAGTGAAGTAATAGGAGACTAATGCTAAAAAAATTACAAATTCCACATGAGAGCAAACAATTAGAAAACAACAAAATAAGTAGATAACAATTCTATCTTTTAACTTTTGATAGTACTTTATGTTTTTCTTCATTGCTATTACTTTCGGGTAACATGTGACCCACTTTTACAGATGGCCATGCACCTGCTATCGGAAAAAGAGAAAGATAACCTCACTCAGTTGGTTAGCGTCATGGTGTCTTATGCTATCTCGTATAAACAAATAAAATCCGATCCCCGTCTCAATAACACCAGACATGAAGCAACTTTAGATGGTTCAGTTCTTGCTTTGGATCCACCCATAGATGGTTTTGTTTGTTTTAAGGTTTGAGTTGTTGTCATGCTCTCTTGGTGGCTTGTTTTAATGTTACTCTATGGCTCTTGGTCTAAGTTTTTTTGTTTCCACCATTCAGGGCTATGAAAGCTGTCATAATGTACTTCCATTACCCATGAAGCAATTGTTGATTCATGAGGTAAGATAATTTATTCGACGTATTCAGAATTGTTCACTGAAAATTTTATTATCTTTGACTTTCTCCCTTACATTTACTAACCTGATTATATTGTTTAAATAGTATATTATACTTTAATGTACATATTTCTTTATTTTTTCAGCAGTGTTTCCTTCATACATTGACAATTTACTTGGAAATGGATTCCTAATGACATTCCTAGGTTTTTTCTTGTTAGTTTATAGGATCTCGGTTTCAGTGAGTAAGAGGTTTGAGAGCTTGATTAGGAACTTCTTGTGGGAGGGGGGTGGTTCTCATTTGGTTAAGTGGGAGTTGGCGACAAAACTTGTTGAGCTTAGAGGCTTTGGTAGAGGGAGCATGAGGTTATGCAATGAGGCTCTTTTGGCGAATTGTTTGTGGCGTTTCTTCATAGAATCTGACACTCTAAGGTATAGAGTGGTAGATATGGCCCTCACCCTTTTGAGTGGACCTCGAGTGGAGAGCCCTAAGGCCTTAACAAAAATCTTTGGAAAGTTACCTCTTCTTGCTTCCTTTTCTCAGTTTGTCCTCCGAGCTCTTTCCATCTCGACAATGAAGCTTATCTCAAACTTCTCTCTCCCACCGGCGGCTGATGGTAATAGACTAACTACCGGAGATATTCGTCTGATGCTCTATTGGGGATGGTTCGAAAGTTTCTTTTTGGTAGGACCTTTGGGTGGGAGATAAGCTTTTATGCGTGTTATTTCCTCGTCTTTACTTTCTTTCCAACAAGAGGTTTCATTTAGTAGCCTCCGCGTTATTTCCTCGTTCTTTTGGCTTGGATTCCCTTTTTGTAGCTATTAACGACTCCTTTTTTTAGAGCTTGATTTTGAATCCCCTTGTATTTTTTTCATTAAGGTTTCTTATAAAAAAGAAAAACCTGCAAAACAAGGACTGTTTAGTTATTTTAACCAGCAAATATAACTCAAAAGCATTTTCTTCAATAGTTTCTTTCAAGTCCAAGATTCTTTTTTGAAATTCTTGTATAAGTTTTCATCATAAAACTTTGTCCTTAGTGATCAGCATTTTGAAACTGATCTATTGCCTTATCTATTGTATGCATAGGTTGAGAATCAAAAAATTTTCCAAGGGAGCTATGGCAAATTGGAGCATATATCAGAGGCCAAGAAGGTAAACCACGAAGGCTCCATGGACAAACCTTTAAGAGGTGGACTCATGAAAACTGATCCTGCAGCCTTATCGGCTAAAAACAAGGTAGACGACCGAAAATCTTATTCGGCACAGCACCGTCCAAGTCACCCAACTTCAGCTTCCAATGGGAATTCTGCTCCAAGTGTTAGTACAAAGTCCTCTGGAGCCCAGAAAAAATCCGCTTTGGGTTCCTCAAGTTTCTTTGATAGGTATATTAATGTCTTCTGTTTCTTCTTCAAATCTTCTAAGTTATGTTTCAAAGAAAACTTAATTCATGCTTTTCTAACTTCCAATTTCTTTTCCTAATTCATGCAAGTAAATTCTCTTATAATTGTTTGTAGTAATGGGGGTTTATGATATATATATATTAGAGGTTAGAATATGATTTTGATCTCATCTGATTCTTTTTCTATTTTAGAGTATAGATGTCTAAATTCAGTTCTTGTACTCTATATAAATCTTAAAATTACTTTAGATGGTAGCTTGAAGTTAATTTTCGTCGAAATTGATAAAATAATAATAATTTTCATTCAAGAAAACACATTATATGCTTACATTAGGCTAATAGAGACTTGACTTTTTTTTTTGGAAACGTCTACCATAAACTAGTAGTAGGGACTAAATTAGATTTATTGAAAGCATAGATACTGAATTTTGACATTTGAAATACGTTCTACCATGATCTTAACCTGTTTAGTTTGTAGTAGTAGTAGGGACTAAAACAGAACACGTTCTAAAGTATAGGGACTTTGTTTATTTCACTAAACGTCTACCATAAACTAGTAGTAGGGACTAAAACATGTTCTAAAGTATCAGGACCAAAATAATATTTTAACTTATTTTGTATTAGTATTACGTTTATGTTTCTTTGAAGTTCTTGGCTGTCTATCATGATCTTAACCTGTTTAATTTTTGAAATTAGGTTTCGAAAATCAGGTGGTAAAGGCTCCCAAAACACTGATTCCATTGACAAGAAGGAAATTACATTGGAGAGAGATCTACGTCCGTTTCTATTTAAATTTAACGAGGTAACAATTATTGCCTAAGTATGATAATATTCCCAGTGATATCTGGAAATTTGGTCTTTCATTTCAAGTTGAGAGCATTGTGTTAAGCAAATATACTTTACAAATATTCCTTTGGATGGAAGTTTTTGAAATTTTCATTCCATCTTCAACTGTTGCTGCCATGCGTTTTTCGTGTGTAGGGTTTTACGAATGCAATAAAGAGACCGGTTCGGGTTCGCGAGTTTCTGCTATGACGAATTACTTGCTCATCATATGTCGAGAGGCTATTTTCTGGTATCAGTTTTTGCATAAATGTTCATGTTGTTTACTTCTATATATCAATTACTATATCCTGCAGGTTCCCTAGTTAAGTGCTTAGATTCCTTGAATTGGTACATATCCTCTGCTTTTACTATGATAGTTAACTTCAATTGATCCTTTTATTCCTTTTTGACATATTTCTCTAGGAATAAGCCTTAAAGACACTCTTTTTAAAGCACTTACAAAGTTATTCCAAAACGGTCCTAAATCGATACTTTAAACGTAGGAGAATAGTTTCTGGAGCCATTAGATATTCGGACAAAAAAATGATACACATCCTTTAGAATATTACAAAACATGAGTACAAACCTAAAGTTGATAAGAGAAGACTCTAGTATTTGTTCCCTCGAGCACATTCGAGTAATAATTTTTCATGTCTGGATCTAAAACGTATCTTCGAAAAAATTTACATCATAGATCAAAACATCTATGAATACAAAAGCTCCAGCTAAACCAGTACACTAATGTACATAATACAATTGTACCTTTGTCACGAACATAGATCATCACTTGTCTTGTAGTATTACTGGATAATACTAGAAGAATGTGGGAAGAATGTGGGAAGAATATTGAAAGGAGAAACAAACAAACACACAAACAAATCAAATGAACACAATCCTAATAGCTTTTTGTACTATGATTTGATTCAATCCCCTGGGTCTGGAAAAACCCTCATAAATTAGAAGGGGCGAACCATGGTTATGAGCTTCTTGACATCCCGATTGATTAAAATTGAATGAAAGAAGATCATACCTAATTGCTTCCATCAGAAGCACTGTCAGGTGGACTGACAGAAATCCATAGCAAAGAAACAGTGATTGAAAGCAGCCCTGACCAGACATACACAATGGTTGGGAGCCTTCCTCTTCTGCCCATCAACCCTTTGGCAAATGGGTACATATGAGCCAGCACCCAAAAGCTAAAGAACAGACCACCAAACAGCTTGCTCCATTGAGGAATCACACTGTAAACAGTCCTTGAGAAGCCAATTACAACTGCAATGATGTTGACAATTATAATTGTAAGCGGCATTATAAAGAGACTCGTCCATTTGACGAGGTAAAGATCGGCGTAAATGTCGTCTTCGTCGTCTCCGGCTGATTTCGACGTAAGAGTGAAGGAGATTTCGATCCCAGCTACGACTTTAAGAAGTCCCTGAATAACTGCAGCAAGATGGGCACTGGTTCCACCAATGACCCAAAATTGTTCATTTCTCCACCATTCTTCTAAGGCAATGCCTGACCATTTTACTTCAAGGAGGGATAGAAGGCAAAGGCAAACAGTGATGATGAGAAGATAGCTGAGAAATGCAACGTTTAAGCCTTGTACTATGAAGTGTCCTGAGAAGAGGGAAAGTGCTGGGAGAAAGCAGTACACGACCAAGAAAAGGGAAGTGAATGGGTAAATGCCAACGTTTAGATAGGCTACACGTTGAAGGAATTTGAGGCGTTTGCTTCCTAGAAAAGCATTGTTTTTAGAGAAGAAGATTTCGACTGAGCCGGTAGCCCATCGAAGCACTTGGTGAAGACGATCTGTGAGGTTGATTGGTGCAGTGCCCCGAAAGGCATCGCGCTTGGTGATACAATAAACTGACCGCCACCCTCGATTGTGCATTCGGTAACCAGTCACCACATCCTCTGTCACTGACCCGTAAATCCACCCAATTCTTTCGCCCCATTCGGTCTTGTCCTCGTACCTGCACTCCCAAAAAACTAGTTGTTAGATCTATATCGATATCGATATATATGTATATATATATATATATATATATATATATATATATATATATATATATATAATCTCATGACTTGTCGCTAATTAGAATATGGCATTGCAGTCTTACCAACATGAGATAACAGCAACTGCTTCAGCTACAGTTTGGGCATCAAGAGGTGGACGAGGCATGAGCAGGGTACCGGGGGGTCGACCGTTCTTGACAGAGACGTGATCGGCGAGGGGGCGGCCTTGGAACTCGGCTACAGGGATGGAGTCTGTAAATATGGTAGAGCTTCCAAACTTCTTAGGGAGGTCCAAGTCAGGGTGATCCGTCAAAGGGTGAGAGTCAGAATCATCTTCCTCAGACTGAGGTTGATAATTAGTTCTGGCTGCGGATTTGACTTGCCCAAACATGCCTGTGTATTCGTTTGCTCTCGGTGGGTTGAAGCCATACAGTGCATATCGCCTGAACATGCAACCAGTTCCCACATACACTGGGCCTTGAAGACCATCCAATGCCCTCATATTTCCTGTTTAGTGCCCAATTAGTAAGAAACACAAAAGCAAACGTTGAAGCCTTTACTCAAATGGAGTGACATCAACTGGCATTAATTTAAGTCTTGGTACTGTCCTTTTTAGACTTTTTTTTTCCGGCTTTACTCTTTAAGATTTTTAAACGTGTCTATTAGGAAGAGGTTTCCACATCTTTATAAAGAATGTCTCGTTCTCCTCCTCAACCGACGTAGGATCTCACAATCCACCTCCTTTGAGACCTAGTATCCTCACTAGCATTTGTTCCCTTCAATCGGTGTAAGATTCCTCAATCCACCCCCTTTAGGGCTCAGCGTCGTCCACCCTCCTTCGGAGCTCAACCTCCTCGTTGGCACATCGTCTGGGACTCTGATACCATTTGTAACAGCCTAAACCCACCACTAGCGGATATTGTCCTTTTTGAGTTTTTCTCTCACAATCCACCCCCTTCGAGATCCAGCGTCCTCACTGGTACTTGTTCCCTTCTCCAATCGATGTAGGATTCCTCAATCCACCCCCTTCAAGACTCAACGTCCTTGTTGGCACACCGCCTTGTGTCCACCCTTCTTTGGAGCTCAACCTCCTCATTGGCACATCATCTGAGACTCTGATACCATTTGTAACAGCCTAAACCCACCACTAGCAGATATTATCCTTTTTTGGGTTTTCCCTTTCAGCTTTCGCCTCAAGGCTTTTAAAACGTGTTTACTGGAAATTAAATTTTTGGATGATCGATAGTAAAACATTTCAAAAACACTTTTTAAGAGTATAGAATCAAACAAAAAAAAAATTGTCAATAAAATGAACCAAGCTTGTAAAATTCTTCATAGACTGAATTAAGGGCTTACCATCAAAGAAGACAGTGTTGTGGTTGGCATAACGATCAGAGGGATCGATGCCTTCAAATCTCTGAGGGAATTGAATGTAACAAATCCTGTCGCCACCTCGATCCATCATGAAGCACATTCCCTCTCTTATAGCTTGACAGTTGTAGAAATAATGGTCACAATCCAAATTGAGAATAAAAGGCCCATTTGATAGCACTGCCGAGGCTCGAACCATGGCATTCATGGCTCCAGCCTTCTTGTTGTGGTCATAACCAGGCCGTTTCTCACGTGACACGTATGCAAACATTGGAATTCTTATGTCAATTCCTGTGAAGTCCAATTTGTTCTCATCTGGACCCCCCATAACTGGGTCGTTTTCTGGTACCTTTGTCATTACCTGTACAATTTCAAGAAAAACATAAATTAATTTTATAAATACATATACATTTTTTAAATGAAATTGTGATAAAGGTAAATATGAAATTTAAATTTTACTTTGATTTTGATTTAGAAAACTCCAAAATATTTATTTAGTCTTTATAAATTATTATATTTCAAACTCATTACTTATTATTATTATAAAAATTAAGAACCTGCAAAATGCCAGCGTGGTCGCCCTTGGAGTGGTCGGCGGTTGCATTAAGCCAAGTTCCAGGCCAGTGGGTGCCGTCGGCCATCCAGGTGGCCTTGGTGACCTTGACTGGCTCGGCCGGTGTCTCACCGCCGTTCTTATCTCGAGCCAGTTTTTTCTCCTTGGCCTCCTCCCTGGAGTTGTACATATCACTCCTCTTTTTAATGCCTTCCGGTAGCCCGTTGATTCTGACCTTAAACTCGTCGTACTCTCTCTTTATCCACCGGCGGTCCTTCACAAAATCCCGCCGCTTCTTGTTCTTGGTTGGATCCGTTTTTATGTTGAAGTAACTGTCTGGATTTCTGGGTTCTATGTTGTGCTTTCGGCAAAACGGTACCCATACCTGTTTCTCATCAAAATCACACCCATTTCTCATCAAAATCCCTAAAACTACTCTTTAATCATTTAATTCAACCAAAAATAAATAAATAAATAATAGTCCAAGCACACCACTAGTTGATATTGTCTGCTTCGACCCGTTACGTATTGTCTTCAGGCCCATGGTTTTACGCATCTGTTAGGGAGACCCGTTACGTATTGCCTTCAGGCCCATGATTTTACGCGTCTGTTAGGGAGACCCGTTACGTATTGCCTTCAAGCCCATGATTTTACGGTCTGTTAGGGAGACCCGTTACGTATTGCCTTCAGGCCCATGATTTTACGGTCTGTTAGGGAGACCCGTTACGTATTGCCTTCAGGCCCATGGTTTTACGGTCTGTTAGAGAGACCCGTTACGTATTGCCTTCAGGCCCATGGTTTTAGGCGTCTGTTCGAGAGAGGGTTTTCACACCCTATAAAATATAAGAATGCTTTATTCTCTTCTCCAACCAATGTGAAATTTAACAATGGTACCAGAGCCAAACACTAGGCCGTGTGCACACTGGCACCAAGGAGTGGATTGTTAGATCCCACATTAATTGAAGAAGAGAATGGAACCGTTTTTATAAGAGCGTGAAAACCTCTCTCCAACAGAGGTATGTTAAAACCGTAAAGTTGACAGCGATACATAATAAACCGAAGTAGACAATATCGGCTAGATGAGCTTAAATTGTTATACCGTCACTAAAACTTATTTAAACTAATTTTTATATATTCTAAAATAATTTCTAAATCCACTCACCATAAATTCTAGATTAAAGACCAATAAAGAAAACGATAGCATGCAATTCATTTCAAATTAGGAAACAGAACCTCCGCAAACCTAACAGCCTCCGCCATGGCTTCAAACGAAAGTATGGCGCCACCATCGTCCGAAATGTAGCACGACAGCTTTTCCACAGGGTAATCAACGGCCAAGATTGAGAGAATAGTGTTAGCCGTGACGAGTGGCGGTTCCTTCTCTGGGTCGGCAGTGGACACAAACACGTCGACTCCGGGAAGGTCGGACCGCCCAGACGGGTTGGTCGGAGTCGGCTTATCGAACTTTTCTCGAAGCGCAGCGAGGTCGGTGGCTCGGTTTATAGGGTTGAGCTTTGGAAGAATATCCAAAAGCCATGAGAAAGCAAACCACACCTCACAAACAATAGACATTCCCCATAGCCACACTGCGTCAGGGTTTGGGTTTCGGATTCGCCATGCAAGAAAGAATGCCAATACTACCATTCGAATGAACACCAAGAGCCTAATTTCAAGCAAATAATTATTACATTATAAATAAAAATGAAAAAAAAAATTAAAAACTGCAACTGATAATATATAAATATTATGAAATTTTAATCATAAATTTAGATATCACTTTTGTGATATGGTCTATTTTGACCCTAAACTCTCTCCCTCAATTAGTCGGGACTCCCTTCCAACAATTCTCAATAATTCACCCCTCCAACAAAGTATATTATAGAGCCTCCCCCGAGGGCTATGGAACCATCGAACAACCTCCCCTTAGTCGAGACTCGACCCTTTCTCAAGCCTTCGAATAAAATACACCTTTTGTTCGACATTTGAGTCACTTTTGACTCTCTTTGTTCGAACGCATCATTATTCTAAACAATCTCCAACAATCCTCCCCTCGAACAAAGTACATCATAGAGTCTCCCCTCAGGGCTATGGAGCCCTCGAACAGCCTCCCCTTAACCCTTAATCGAGACTCGACCCTTTCTCGAGCCTTCGAATAAAAATACACCATTTGTTCGACATTTTAGTCACTTTTGATTATACTTTCGAGGTTTACAACTTCTTTATTCTAACTATTGATATGACTAAATTAAGGACATGACTTTGATTCCATGTTAGGCATCTCTCCTCCTTCACAATGATATGAGATCCTCTATCCTTCACAATGACATGAGATCCTCTAGAAATTTCACTTCTAGTGGTAAAGTTGGTAAAGTTAATGAAATTTCTAACTAATCAAGCATAGTAATGATTTGGTACCTGTAGGGGCTCAGAATAGCTGGCGGGACTTTAACTTTCCTCGTGAGCGGCCTCCATGGATTGTCCATGAAATCCGCCATGCTCATCCCTTCCGAAACATAGCCTTGATCCTGTTCTCCATCCTGCCAGTACGCATTTCCGATTCCGTATCTTCCTTTTGTTTCGAACAACCAGCGGTTGTGATCGAAATCAGACGTTTGGCTTCGCAACAGCATCGATTTATTGTTCGACGATTTCATCACCGACATTCTCCTATCCTTCGCGGCATCACCATCGCCGCCTCCACCGTTCGGATCCGAATCTCCGACTCGCCTAATCAATCCTCGAGCCTCAGATCCGAATCGAGTCGTAGCAGTACCGTCCGATTTGGAATCTGTACCCGTTCCTCCGCCTGGCTGATTATCAGGCGTCGGAGGCATTAATACAGTGTAGTTTATGTAATCAGTCTGACCGGAATAGTCGCCTGACATGTCTAAATCGTCGTCGCGAGATAGACTTACGAATCGTCCACTTGACGTCCGGCGAGAAACCTTCACCGCCTGTGGTGGTCGTCCTGAAGAAGACGGTGAATTCGTAAGCGTCTTCCTCGGGCTCAAAGTCGCCATTTATATATATCGATTCTATCTGTTCCTGTTTTTCTGGTTATAATTCAATCAGAAACGCTTCATCGCGTCAAATTTCAATGCAACAGATTCCAAAAGCACTTAGAGCATGAAAATCGGCGATCCGTAAGTGTGGAAGAAGCAATCGAGGACGTTGGATTTTGTGATCGAAGTGAGGAAGGAGGAAGAGGCTGAATCCGTTTGAGACTCACTTGAACGGTGAAGAATTTTCCCCCTATTTTTAGCTTCTTCTTTGTTCCCTTTTTTCAAGCCTCGCCTCTCTCTGTCTCTCCCTCTGTCTCTCTCCATTTTACAAATTTTATTTATTTATTTTTAATCACTTTTTAATATTCTAATTATTTTCACAAGAAAATTAATTTAATTCTCCATTTTATATTTATTTCCAACACTTTTCATCCATCTGCCAATTTTAAAGTATATAAATAAATTGTTACATAATTTTTATGGTTTAAAATTCCAGATATTAAATTATTTTATCAAAATTATATGCACTAATTTTTTTTTAATCTGAAGTGTGTTTTGCATCCTTTTAAAGGTTTAAATACATATTATTATTAGTTTAAAAGCCCTTTTTTATAATTATTTTGTTTTTTTTAATGTATTTTAAAATTATAATTGTTTTCTTTTTTAGTAAATATTCAACCTTTTTTTAAAATACATTTAAATTCTAAATTAAATTATTATTATTTTTTTAATTTTTAGAATGTTAAAAGAAAGATAATAAATAAAAAAAATTATGGGCGAAAATAAAGTATTTATAAGTTCAATTTTTAAATATATAGAAGGAAGAAAAAGGTCCAATAAAACTACAAATTTTTATTTAAAAAAAAAACATAATTCAACAACTACAATATTTAAATAAAATGTTAAATTAAATATCTAATCAATCTCTGTAGTTAAAAAAAATGATTAATGGATTAATAAATTCCAATTTTATGTTTTTTTTAAGGCAAAATTCAAAATTTTATCTAATATTTTATGAATTAAAAAAAATGTCATACAAATTAGACTTCTCAACACAAAATTGAAATTTTAAAAATTTATTTATTAAAATTGAAATTTTAAAAATTTATTTATACTAAATTAACAATAAATATATATATAAAAAGGGCTTCAAACGATTTAGTCTTACTTTTATTTTATTTTTTTAAAGTAAGCTTAAAAATATTATATTCATACATGAGCTTACTTGTTTTGTTGTCGGATTTATTTATTTATTTATTTTTTATGTTTCCAAAATTTAACCTAATTTTTTAGAAATAAAATAACATTTTTAAAATTTAGAAATGGATTATAAATTCAAATGTTTTCTTAAAAAAATTGATAAAGATTTGTTTTTTTTATTTGTAAGAATTAAAACGTATAAATAATACTTCAAGTTTTTATTTTTTAAAATTAAAAAAAAAAAAGAAAAAAAAAACAGTAAATAGTTATTTAAACGAATTACAATGTTTACGAAAACGGTGCTTTCAAAATTCGTGGCGGGAAAAGACTACATATACGAAAGAGGGAGAGGGAATTTTAAAATCCGTCCTCCTAAAATTTTCCGACACTTCAAGTTCGAGCAAATGAACAACGAGCGTCCTTTGATTAGGGTTTTCGGCCAGCGTTCAATTTCATCGTCTTTCCGCTCCTGTTCTTCAAATCCGTAATCTATCGGTCATGATTCTATTTTTTCTCTCTCGACTTTATGTGTTTATTAATTTGTTGTACGTTTTTAATTTCTGGTTCGAAACAGTTTCAAGAGTTCGAATGAAGTTTCCCAAAGCAAATCTATTAAGAAGAGCTCGCATTTGTCGCTCTCGGAATTCCTCGATCGAAAACTGCCGGAATCTTTCGTACTGCAGAGGACGGTGAAGGTAACGAGTTTTGCCTCAGTTTTTTCTGTCTACCTGTCAATTGGAGTTTTAGATTGCGTTTATTTAGGTCTGATTTTTCGATCGGACGTAGAAAATCAAAATGAGAAGACGATCGATGAAATTCGATGGTGATTTTAGCTTCGTTGACGATTTGGTTTCTTCTTCTTTCTTTTTATCCGGCTTTAAAACACTATTTATTGATGAATCTTTAATTTCATGTGTATAATGCGAAATACAAAGGGGAAAAAGTGGAAAATCAAATTTAGAGTGTTAGGAAAGCCATTGATTCCGTTCTTTATACACAGGGGAAGTCCACGCCCTTCTCCTCATTGCAGGGTCCAAGGGATGCAAATAGCTCCATGAATAAACCGATTGGAATTCATTATGAGACGGATTCCCAGACAGAATCGGCTATTTCAAAGGTGCTTTTTGAAGAGTTCAAGCGTTCTGAACCAAACCAAAGTCAAAGTTCAGTTTTAAGCGGTGCTAGTGAAGCAGATATCTTCAGTACAGATGATATGCTAGAATCGAGGAAAAGAAAGATATTAAGTGAAGGCTTTGCTTCCACTACCCCATGTAATTGGCTTACTCTCGTAAGCTATGAAGATTTTGTGTTTGAATGGCTGATGATACTTGAACTTTGTTAACTTTTACCATCAGGTGAGGGCCAAGCGAGGAAGAAGAATGTGGTAGTTCTTGGAGGCGACCCAAAACCCGAGAAAAAGAGAAGGGAGGCGGTTCATGATATCAGAAACATAAAACCAAAACCTCTCTACAATCACTGTAAGTATTTGCCATCTTCTTAATATGCTTTTGTTTCTCATATGAATTGCCTCCTTCCGCTTTTGCTCGGATTTTAAACGGTGATGTCCCATATTGGTTGGGGAGGAGAATAAACCACCATTTACCAGAGTGTGGAAATCTTCCTCCAGCAGACGCGTTTTAAAATCTTGAGGGGAAGCCCAAAAAGGACAATATCTACCAGCGGTGGGCTTGAGCCATTACAAATGGTATCACAGTCAAACACTGGACAGTGTGTCAGCTTTCTCGCTGTTCCCCAAAGGGGGTAGACACGAGGCGGTGTGCCAGTAAGGACGTTGGGCTTCGGGGTGGATTTGGGGGTGGTCCCACATAGATTAGAGGAAGGAAAGAGTGCCAGTGAGGAAGCTGGGCCCCGAAGAGGGATGAATTGTGATGTCCCACATTGGTTGGGGAAAAGAACAAACCGCCATTTATAAGGGTGTGGAAACCTTCCCTCCTAAAGGGGGAAGACACGATGCGATGTGCCAGTAAGGACGTTGGGCTCCAAAGGGGGGTAGATTTGGGTGCGGTCCCCCATCAATGGGAGGAAGGAAAGAGAGCTAATGAGGATGCTGGGCCCCAAAGGAGGGTGGATTGTGATGTCCCACATTGGTTGAAGATGAGAACAAATCGTATGTGTTTTAAAGCCCTGAGAGGAAGTCCGAAAGAGGAAACCTTCCCCTAGAGATGTGTTTTAAAGTCTTGAGAGGAAGTCTGAAAGAGGACAATATTTGCTAGCGGTGATTATTTACATAAACTAAATTAAATTTGTTTAGAAACTTAGCAAGTAACCAACAACTATGCATACTAAACTTATTGTTCACGAGTTTAGTTCCAAACTTTTATGTCTATGTCCATTAGTTTGTAAATTTTTAAAAGTATTTAATAGATTCTTAATGTAATAGATTCTTTTAAGTTTTCAATTTTAGATTTAGATTAGTTATATATTTAAATTTTTTTAAAATAATTTGATTTATATGATTAAATTTATGTTTAAATTTATTCTTGTATTTTGAGAAATGTTGAAATAAGAAATTCAAAAACTTATTAGAACCCATTAAATACCATTTAAAGATTTACAATCAAATAGATAGATATAAATTTTAAAATTGAGAGACCAAATAAGGTTGGAGGTAAAAAAAAAATAGTTTTTTAAATTTAAAGTTTAAAGAATAAAACTACATATTTACCATTATGTATGGTAATTTCTTCGGTTTAAACTGTTTTATTAACCTTCCGATTCATGGTAACTTCTTGTTTTTGCCAACTGTGCAGATGCAAGTGGCGGTGGGTGGTGGGACTGCGACATGGAGGGTGTTGACAGCGAAGAGGTTGGGCTTGGTGAAGTATGGGAAGGAGTTGGGTCTACTACGCTTGGAGGAATAGAATGGCATTGAGTTTCTTGGCGCTTCATCCTCTTCACGCTGTAAATATTCTCTTTTTTCTAGACTATTTTTGTCATTTTGCTTCTAATCATTGTCTTAGATTCTCTATAAAATTTTCTTCGATTCGTGTTAGATCACCTCGGTAGGTTGAATTTATTATCATTTTGTTGATTTCTTTTCTCAATCGATAGTTTTGTATATAATTGATATATTAGATAGAATTTATAAAAAAAAAAAATTAATTTTGTATTTGATGAAAAGCATATAAATTAAACGTATGATATATTTTAATTAATTAAGACATACACGTTCAACTGAGAAATTGTTAATCGATAGTTTTGTATAATTGATATATGAAAGAGAATTTATAAATAAGTAAAAAAAAAATTTAATTTTGTATTCCATGAGAAGCATATAAATTGAATATATGATATATTTTAACGGATTAATATACACATTGGACTGAGATGTTGGATATTTGAATCTCTCGATTGTCACATTTTAACGAATAAAATTTAAAAACATACATATTTTCATGCCGGAAACAAACTAAATTGAGTTTGAAATTTTAAAAGGAAAGAATATATATTATCTAAGAAAAAAGTAATATTCTAAATTTTAATTGTATAAGATTAAATTAAAACTTTTTAAACGATAAAAGTTTAAATAATTAAAAAAAAAACCAAATAACTAAATTTATCGTACCACGCTAATTATTTATTTCAAAATAAAGTTGCTTGTCCCATCAAGGGGTGGTGGCGCAGTTGGCTAGCGCGTAGGTCTCATAGCTTAAGAGTTATCCTGAGGTCGAGAGTTCGAGCCTCTCTCACCCCAATAACATTTTTTCTTTTCCCATTTTGCGTTCTCCTTCGATAGAGTCCAGTGGGCTTCTACAAGGCCCACATATTGATGGGCCATTATACTCAAGGCCCTTGATACTTGCAGCGGCTGATTGCAAACACTTTGCCCCCCCCCCCCCCC